GCAATTCAACCTGTTAAAGGAGGGTGGGAGGGGATGACTGGGCTATAACCATAAGCGACCAAAAGCTTACACGACAGTAAGAGGCATGTTTTGTAACTTCAAATGTGTAGCAGTGTAGAAAGAAGAGGAGGAGGCAAATTCCAACAATACAAATGGAGAGTTATATACCCGTCTGGCGATACATTCACGTTAATTTAATAGAACCGCACATGTGAATAAATTAATAATATTCAAACAATGATGCACTTCAAGGGAAATTACTGAAAATAAAAAGGGGGGAGGGTCCTCAAATCAAAACACGAAATACAGCCAACCTTAAATAAACACTCAACACCATAAGCCCCGGGGGATGCCAGCTTTCTGCTTCCTCTCAACATAGTAGCCTGTCCACCCATTCCACTGTAACCACCCACATAAATCCTTAAATTCCCATTCCTTTCACCCCCTGAAGTATGAATGGAGAATCAAAACAAGATTTCAATTACTCTTGAGAGAAACTTTACCAGGGAAAACCAGTGCATACAATATTTCTAGTCTGAAAATTATTTGATCAACGATAAAACAGCTGCAAAACATACTTGCATATAACCTTATCCTTTACGGTGTGAGTGAGTGTCATATAATCAAGCTATTTGATAAAAAAAGAGACACCAGCCTTGAGTGAAAACAAAAACAACAAGGGAGCTATGCAAAGGAATCTGAAGTTTAAGTAAGAGTATTTATATCTCTGTGGCAATCTAATCCCCTGGTAAGAAGGGATTAGCAATGAGCTTTTCATATTCATCTCAAGGAGACCATGATTCAGATACAATGAACAAGTAAAAAGCAGAGGGTAGAAATCAGCTGCACAAAATTGCACAGTTTAGAGATGATCGTAAAAGTAATCAAACCATTCCCTCTTCACTGGATTGGTAATAATTGAAAACATATATTCCCAAAAGCTAAATAGAATTACAATATCAATAACTCAAATAAATATTGAAATAGTAAAAGTACTGTATTCCTTCAGATGGGTAAAAAAATAACCAGTATATATTTACATTCCTGAAGTCTGAGCTCACTGTATTTTAAAAACAGCACTGACATTATGTAAATCAAAGTCAGATAAACTCTTCAAATACTTTCAAACTTCTCATTGATATATGAAAAAACATAAGATCTTGAAGACAATCCATCCTGGCTATTTACCATTTGTCAAGCATGTTATTGTAGACATTACAGCCTTTTTGAACAGACTACATTCCTCCCCCTGTTACTCCATTACCTCCCTCCCTCCCTCCCTCCCTCGCTCCAACCCCTTATCATAAATCAAACAAGAAACAACTTGTAAACTCAGCAAATAAAAATGACCTTATGCCTCTTCCCTTCCAACTTCACAGGATTAAAACAGTGCAAACAATTTTGACGAGTGGTAAACACAAGAGGTGATGGTAGATGTTTACAAGACCCTGGCCTCGCACCTATCAGCAGACATGTGGTGCTCCAGCAATTGCCAACAAACCTTCATAGCTTATATTCAAACAAGATTACGAGTTTGTATACCACCCAAGAAGTTCATCATTATATATAGAACTAGTCTAAGCTCTACCTTGGCAGAATACACAAGGGGGAGGTTGCTGTCCACTGATGCCCAGTCACTTACCAAAGCAAAAAAGTTATCAAGCTGGACCTCAAACTGTAGGCCTCCTGTCACCCATCACAGCATCCCATTTGACTATGATAGATAAGCTTTTAGAAAGCTACTGTTGGTTTCTTCTGAGCATTTACCGAAGTGATTAAAGGTAAAAATATCTTTCTTGATACATCAGAAATGTAAAAATTTACCAATCTGGTTTTCCTTTCCATAAAAGATAGATACATTAACCCAATCTACAAAAAATAATCGAATGCACAAGAAACTCTCCTAAAGTGATAATTACAAATTCAATATAGGCCCCATATCGCTCCTTAGATGCCAGCAAAGGGGTAAGCTCTCTCAACTCTAGCTTGAAACGGGAAGCGATATCCCGTAGACTTCATCGGCGCGACTTTGCAAAGGCGATTTATAACAGAAAACCGAATAAATGCTTCGTCTTCAACCAACCCACACAACAAGCATTCAACTATGAAAACAGAAAAATAAAGAGTAAAAACCCAAATCTTTGAAAAGACGCCATAAACGGCCAACAGCCCAGACCCCCCCCCCATCCCTCCCCCAATCCCAGAGCCAAAATTCCTGTTTTTCCCTCGATGTTTGGCGAATTCACATCCACCTCCCCCTTGGCCATGAAACCAATCACGCCCACCGCCCATAGACGAGCGACTTCACGCCCCCAACGCCGGCGACTTGGTTCAGCCTAGACATAATCGATCGGCTTGACAAGACTCGACATCCTCTGCTCTCACGCCCTCTTTCGCCCTCTTTTCGTCGCCTCTGACTCCCTCTGAGCCCCTCAGGGGATGGCAGGAGGATTATTCTATTACCCTAGGATACTGTGAGAGGCTTAAATGCCCTGCTTACCTTTTGGTTCGTCGGTATTTCTGTCCTTGACTACCCATATTTCCTCTATCGTTCCGTACTTGGAGAAACTTTCACGAAAATCTTCCTCTGTTATTGATTTTCCACACACAATAAAAAGTCTGGAGTGAGGCGGATCATCGTATTTCGACTCTTTTCCATATTTACCACCATCAGAACCGTGAAAATTGTCTCTAGGTTCTCTGGAGGAGGACTCGTAGCGCCGCGAGAATATCTTGTCTGTGTTCGCCATCTTCTCACTCACAACTGCCGTCCCGAAGCTGCATTCACCTCGGTCTCCCTCTCGAACGCATAGACGACGAAACCCGGCCCAGCGAAGCGAGCTGCGAGAAACAAAAGAGCATCGCGCTTGGGACTTTTGGAATATTTGATCGTTTATAAATGACATGATAAATATGGATCGGAGAGTACTGTTGGATGCCGATGCCTGTGGTGACCCAGGACTTACTTTATCTATAGAACTTTCACCTGCTGCTTCAAAGGGCCGTGACAAGGGATGATGATGACAACACCTGCTCAATTTCGTGTATTCAAACGTCTTGTGGATTTCTCGATCACTTCATCAATGAAACCCCATACATCTGAATCTACGCTATCACACAGAACAACATATAACTAGCTGATGTCAAAGTTAATTTTGTGAAAGCATAAAGCAAAAATCGCAAACTTCGAAGAGTATGAAGTATAAAGGTGAAAGTATTTACGGGAACTTATAGAGGCAGCGGATTTCCCATTCACTTGCCATGAAGCCAGCATAAATGGTTAGGAATTTGGCGATCTCTTTCATTTAATCATGAAGCTTCATCATAAATTCCTTTAGTATTAAATGTTAAAGGTTCCCCAATTTTAGTTTAATTTTCCTCAAAGGTCTTGGAGTGCCCGGGTAAAAAATGAAAATATAAGTATTCAAGCGCCGAGTGTTTGAGCAACGAATTTTACTCGCGAGTCCCGAGGCTCAAAAAGCTGACACGTGGAGGCCTACGCTAAAGGAAGTCTTCTGTTCCTGGGTGAATACACGCACGTAGCACGCAGGTCCGCATACGTGTGTGTGTGTGTGTGTGTGTATCTATATATATATATATATATATATATATATATATTATATATATATATATATATATTATATATATATATATATATATATATATATATATATATGTATATATATATATATATATATATATATATATATGTATATATATATATATATATCATATATATTTATATATATATATATATATATATATATATATATTATATATATATATATATATATATATATATATATATATATATATATATATATATATATATATTATATATAATTATTATATATAATATAATAACAGAAAATATATTTGTGTTTCAATGGATGTTTATGAATAAAAGATATATAAATAAACAATAGAAAAATAAATGAACACACACACACACATACATATATACTATATATATATATATATATATATATATATATATATATATATATATATATATATGTATATATACATATATTATATTAATATATATATATATATATATATATATATATATATATATATATATATATATATATATAATATATATATGCATGTATGTATATATTTATACATGTTTATATGTATGTATGTAATTACATGCATATGTATGTTTATCTGTTTATTTATATTTACACACACATATATGTGTGTGTGTGTGTGTGTGTGTGCATATATGTATGTATGTATATGAATACAAATATGTATATATATGTTATATATATATATATATATATATATATATATATATATATATATATATATATATATATGAGTGTGTGTGTTCATTTATTTTTCTATTGTTTATTTATATATCTTTTATTCATAAACATCCAAACACAAATACGTTTTCTGTATATTATATATATATATATATATATATATATATATATATATATATATATATATATGAATATATATATATTTGTTTATTCATACATTCATTTATTCGTTTATTCATTTGAGTGTGTATTGTTAATTCCTTAGACTGAAGTAGTGCTAAAAGTAGCAATATTTTTTGCAGTAGTAACAACAATGCTAGTGACAGCAGGCATTAGTGAAGGTGAATGTTTTGATAGTAAAGCATGTAACGTAGTAACAGTAAGGCCAGATTTTATACATCACTTATGATATTTAACCATAAATGCAATAATAAATGATGGTTATGTTTTATAAAAGTCTCTCCGACGTTTCACATTAAAGTGTAAACAGTGCAGGCTGGAGCATAAGGTCGATCTTGACGTTCTTTTCTTACGTGAGTTACAGCCATGTGGTTTTTTACAAGGTCCATATAGACGTGTGAAAAAAAGGCAATGATTAATCAATGGATTGACAAACGGATTGACAGATTACTCACACTTCGAGAGGGAAAAAAGGCATAAGATGGATGAATGTCTAAATTGGGGCATGATTAAAGCATTAAAGGATGAAAGGATGAGAGAGAGAGAGAGAGAGAGAGAGAGAAAGTCGGGAGGGATAGCGAAAAAGTAGCAGTGAGAGAGAGAAAGAAAGTCGCGAGAGACGGTGAAAGAGAAGCAGAGAGAGAGAGAAAGTTGCGAGAGATAGCGAAAGAGAAACAGAGAGAGAGAAATTCGCGAGAGATAGCGAAAGAAAAGCAGAGGGTGAATGAGATAAAGAGAGAGAAAGTCGCATCGGATAACGAAACAGAAACAGAGAGTAAAAACATTTCGAGAGATAGCGAAAGAGAAACAAAGGCACAAGTAACACAAAGACATCCGAGAAAGACGAAGGAAAGAAAGTCGCGAGAGAGAGCGAAACAGAAGCAGAGAGAGAGAGAGAGAGAGATAGCGAAAGAGAAGCAGAGACAAAAAAAAAAAAAAAACAAAGGCAAACAGAGAGAGAGAGAGAGAGACGGCAATGCTCGGGATCTCGAACCAATACCAGAGATTGCCATCTTTTCTCTTTCAGGCCAAAAGGAGTACCGGGGCGTTCGTCTCATTGTCCTCATTTTAAGGATCTTTATCTCAGGCGAAAATTACGATGCAGCGTCACTCGAGCCAGATGCCTCGGGGATTACTCGGATGCTGCAGGGAGCCTAAAGATAAACGCATTACTTCATTCAGAGGAAATGCTAAACTTGGAACGGGAGGAAAAAAACGTTCACCTTGTGATCAGGAATATACCTTTTGAATGTGTGGATTTCTCTCTCTCTCGCTCTTTCTCTCTCTCTCTCTCTCTCTCTCTCTCTCTCTCTCTCTCTCTCTCTCTCTCTCTATATATATATATATATATATATATATATATATATATATATATATATATATATATATATATATATATATATATATATATATATAAACTACACACACACACACACACACACACACACACACACACACACACACACACACACACACACACACACACACACACATATATTATATATATATATATATATATATATATATATATATATATATATATATATATATATATATATATATATATATATATATATATATGTGTGTGTGTGTGTGTGTGTGTGTGTGTGTGTGTATGTATATATGTATATATGTATATATATATACATATATAACACATATATATATACATATATATATATATATAGATAGATAGATAGATAGATAGATAGATAGATAGATAAATAATTCATATATATACATATATAGAATTAAATATACGTATATATACATATATACATATATATATACATATATATATATATATATATATATATATATATATATATATATATATGTGTGTGTGTGTGTGTGTGTGTGTGTGTGTGTGTGTGTGTGTGTGTGTGTGTGTGTGTGTGTGTGTAGATATATATATATATATACATATATACTGTGTATATTTATGCACATATATATGTATATATATATATATATATATATATATATATATATATATATATACACACACATATATACATATATACATATATACATATATATATATATATATATATATATATATATATATATATGTGTGTGTGTGTGTGTGTGTGTGTGTGTGTGTGTGTGTGTGTGTGTGTGTGTGTGTGTGTGTGTAATGAATATATGCATACACGCACACACACACATACACACACACACACACACACACACATATATATATATATATATATATATATATATATATATATATATATATATATATATATAACACGTACACACATATATCTATATATCGATATATGTGTATGTGTGTGTTGTGAGTGAGTGCGTGTGTATGTGTGTGTGTGTGTGCGTACGCACGTGCGTGTGTGCGTGCGTGTGTGTTTGTGCGTGTGTGTGTACGTGCGTGTGTGTGTATGCGTGCGTGTGTGTGCGTGCGTGCGTGAGTGTGTGCGTGTGTGTGTGTTTTTTATATATATATATATATACATATATTCATATATACACATATATATGTGTAATGCATTAATGGACGCTCCCACCGCACACATTCTGACGCAGGTCCCCGCCATTCCTTGCATGCCCTTGCACCCAAACCGCGACAGGAAGAGAACCAAAAACAATACGAGGGAGAGAGGGGGAGAGAAGGAGGAAGAAAACATCCAAATAAAAAAAGACCTTTTCGCCCCAACTTGGACCCTTCTCAAGTCACACGCAAACGCCCCGCGGGAGATGCACGGCCGCCAAGAAGGTCCGGAGACGCCGCCATAGAGCAGGCCGTCGCGCCGCCACACTGCACTGCAACTGGCGCCCGTCGCTAGGCCGGGGCAGATGGCGAGCACGAGGGCTGCTCGGGCTACGCTAGCCAGCTCGGCAACTGCAGGAGTTCGCTTTGGCTCCCGGGCTTTCCCTGCCGAGGGGAAGGAAGAACGGTGAGGGATTCTGCTCGTAATTTTGACTCCATGAATGGATGACTAACTGCTGTCGGGTTTCCTGTATCGTCGGCACCGAAGGGAAATGCAAATACAAAAATACTAAATGAAGTGTGGCGTTTTCCGTGAGATTAACGCTGACGAACAAAATATGATCGTTTATATTTAGCTACTGGGGCGTCGCCGTGTTTTCCTTGCAAAGGGGAAATACGAGAGACGAGTAACAGTAACACTCCCGTGCCCTGATTAAGAAATTCTTTCTCGAAGAGTATGTAAATCAACCGCTGGACTTCTGCCTTCTTCACAGGCGCGATGGCGTGAAATGGGCCCCTCAGCCCCATATTCTTTCCGTGGCGTAATTATGAATTAGCTTAACAGTTGTTGGATTTTCTCTTCTTTCCTTGTAGAAAGTGC